GTGATATTGTCGAAGCACCGAATGACGAAGGTGAATTGGAAGATCAGCAGATCTTCGTCGCCAAGCTCTGGGACACGAAAGATTTCGAGACAAATCCAAGTCCCGATGAGGTCCGAACTTTCAGCGGGGAGCATACTCGTTTGATTACCGCGGTCGCGATCTCACCCGACAGTACAACGATTGCCACTGCTGATCGGCGAGGCAACATCGTCGTCTGGGATTTAATGACCGCCGAAGTCATTGCCAAAATTCGCGGCCAGCATGATAATGATCAAATCTCGGGGATCGCGTTCCTGAACGAGAATGAATTGATCAGTACCGGCTTCGATGGCCGTATTCGTCGCTGGGTCATTAATCAGGAAGAATTGGTCAGTGTCGATGAACGTTTTCAATTCCTGAAGCAAGACAATTTCGACAACTACATTATCTCTTTGAAAATGTCTCCTGATCGGCGGAAGTTTGCGACTGTCGGCGTTCAGAAGAGTAAGGCCAGGGGCGAAAAAACGAAACATCGTCCATCTCGATGTCTGGACTCTTGATTCTCCTCAAGAACCCAAACAACTGTTCGGAAAGCTTTGGCCTGAAACCAAAAGTGAATTCGATCAAGGCGTCTCTTGGACAGCTGATGGGAAATCATTGGGACACATTTATCCCGTTGCTGCTGACCTTGGCAAAGATTTTGTCAGCGAGCTGACACTTTATGAGACAGAAAACTGGACTGTTACTAAGAAATATCGTCCCAAAGGACTGACAGGGACTTCCTCAAAAATTGCCTTCTCTCCTACTCAAAATGAGGACAAAACAGAGCAGATCGCAACATTCGATGGTCGTGTCGCACACCTGTGGAACTTAGACAACCGTGAACATGTCGTCGAATTCCGGTCACATGAACGTGTCTACTCAGCTGACTTCTCGGTAGATCGACGCCTGGTGATTACCGGGAGCGATTCTGTCCGTATTTTTGTTGGAGATGAAAACCTCGACACCCACGGTAGCACAGTCATCCGCATGACCGAGGCACACGCTGGTCGTATCGAAGAGGTGCGCTTCACCGATCAACCAGGCAAGTACGACTTCCTGACTTTTGGAGGTGATCGCCAGATTAAACTCTGGAACTGGAACTGGACACCGGCAGGACCGAACCTTCCACCTACTCAAGCCGCTGTCACAATGAGCCTCGAATCGATGGAAGATCAACAATCGGGAGACTGGGATCCAAACTTAACCTGGAACTCGTCTCTTGATTGGTCCAAATCTGGCAATTTGATCGCTGCGACATTTGCAGGACAACTATATTTGTTCCAAAAGCAGGGCGATGGTTATATCCGAATTCCATTGAAATTGCCGGAAGGAATCGTTGCGCGTTTCCACAGTTGCGACCTGTCTGAGGATGAATCACTAATCATGGCTGGAGGTGCAAAACTTGGCGAAGATGGTCGCTCAGTCGAGAACTTTTCTGCGATCTGGAGACTGCGAGATGGTGCAGCTCCCTTCTATAATTTAGTCTTCGAAGGGAACCATACTCCAGTACGCAATGAGCAGGGAGCTGTCGGAACGACAGCTGTCAAGTTTGCGGCTGATAGCCTGAATGTCTTTACCGGAGGCACCGATGGTCGCCTGAATCGCTGGGACTGGGAGAGTGGTCTTGATCTCATTGATGAAATCGAAGAGGCAGAACTCGTCGAAGAAATCACGATTGACAGCCGAGCCCCGCATGGGACAGCGACAATCAACTCAATCGATGTCACTAACGCGGGTGACATCCTCTCTGCCGGAAGCAATGGAACCGTAGCCCTCTTCCCAGGTGCGGAAGGCTTTGGGGCTGATTAATGGGATTAGACTGCAATACAAAGAGATCGGTCAAACAATTCATCTGAACTCTTTAGCAAGTTTAGATGTTGTCCTGTTTGGCCTTTTCTCTCGGTTTTTGGCATGCTCTTAACCAGGAAAATTGTCCGAACCAGTCGATCTGGGTTTTCCCTGATACAAAGATTTAATGTTTGACTATCTGGAAGTGAATCCGTAAATTTGAATGAAGAATAGAATCGGCTTGGTTGCGAGCAACTTTTCCTTCAATTTTATTCTTTTTAGGGCTTTATAATTTCAGCTTTCATAATGTGATTCAATGTCGTATCGATCGATGCGATTGATTCAAAGGATGACTTCATGTTGGGCGAACTGATTCCAGTGGGTGGTGGTGACAGTATTCCACTCCTGGAGAAAAAAATTCGTATCGGTCGTCGTAGCACTTGTGAAATCGTTTTGTCATTCCCGAATGTCTCGTCCCATCACTGCGAACTCAACCTGATCGATGGCTACTGGCAAATCAAAGATCTGGGTAGCCGCAATGGAATCAAGGTGAATGGCGAACGCTACGATCAAAAGTGGCTGCACCCTGGAGATGAAATCTCCATCGCCAAAAATCACTTTGAGATTGCCTACGAACCTGTTGGCGTTGCTCCGCCTGAAGAGGATGATCCCTTTGAAATGGGATTACTGGAGAAAGCTGGTCTGCAGAAGCAGCAACAGGAAAGACGTCGAGCAGCTCCTCCTCCAGCGGCCAAAAAACCACCGGCAAACAAATCTTTTGGAGCAGAAGAAGACGCAGCTATGGATTGGCTCATGGGAGATAATTAGCTACGTTGAGTTGGCTTGATTAAATCATATAGGCGCGACACAGCGCTATGCGACCTTTCCGTTGAGATTTGCTCAGAGGCGAGGTTCGAATGTATGATTGCTTATGCTTAAGCTGATCATCTTTCTCAATAGTTTTCTCAGAAAAGACAGGTCTCAGCCTGTAACTCCCGCGTGGCGAAGAAGAAAAAGAAATCTGGCCGCACGGTCAGGGTGAAATTCAAAAAAAACCGACAGAGCCGGACTCGTCCTCAAGACCTGACTCAACAATCTCGGGAAGACATGGATCTTGTTGCGGACCTGGAAACGGGTGAGCGTCTCTCTGGTAAAGGGCATTTAACCCGCTACAGGACAGTAATCTCCGAAACAGATGGCGAGCAAGCACTCAGACAGGTTGACCTTGCTGCCTGTGTCTCTGGGCGGGTACTAAAATCGATCGGGGCCAATCATGTGATTGTCCAGGTCGATAAAAATTCGGTTTTGCGTTGTTCTGTTCGTCGGGTCGTTAGAACCATCTCGCGAGATGGTCGTAATGCTGTTGTGGCTGGTGATCACGTTTTACTGACTCCTCTTGAAAATGATGAAGGGGTCATCGAACGGGTCGAGCCTCGCCGAGGCACACTCAGTCGCATTAGTCGCGGAGAAGCCCACACGATCGTCGCGAATGTCGATCAGGCCGTGATCGTTGCATCGGTTAATGAACCACCCCTCAAGACCAGCTTAATAGACCGATTTCTATGCAGTACTGAAAAGGGGAACATTCAGGCGATCATCTGTCTGAACAAAATTGATCTTGGTGATCGGTTGCCCTTACAAAGAATTGCAGGCATCTACCAACGGTTGGGCTATGAAGTGGTGCTGACCAATGCCATGACCGGAGAAGGGATTGACGAATTGAAGCGACTTCTGATCGGGAAAGAAACGGTCTTCACCGGTCAAAGTGGTGTGGGCAAGTCTTCTCTGCTCAATGCAGTACAACCATCTTTGACTCAAGAGACCTCTTCAATCAGCGGTGAGAGCAACAAAGGCAGGCACACAACACGCGTTACTGAATTACTCCGTCTCGATGACGGCGGCTGGGTGGTCGACACACCAGGAATTCGTCAGCTGCAACTCTGGGACGTTCAAGTTGAAGAGGTCGAAGGACTTTTCGTCGAGTTTCGTCCGTTTGTGACCCGATGCAAGTTTCCGAATTGCTCGCATACTCATGAAAATAATTGTGGTGTAATTGCAGCCGTCAGTGCTGATCGCATTTCACCACTGAGGTACCAAAGCTATTTAAGACTTGTTCTCAATGAGAATAAGCACCGGCGCCAGCCCTCAACGTCAATCAATGCCCTCGTTGACTTTTGACAGGCAGGCGACCCTGTTTACGTGAGTGGAATCAATTTGCGTAGCGTCATGGCAGGGACGAGTAACAGTAGAATTCCAACGACAAACGGAATTCCCTCGTTGCCGAACTTGAAGTAGACGAATGCTGCGTCCAAGACAATCACTGAAAGCAGCATCACTCCAATCGCTGGCTGAATCCTGGCTGGAGTTGGATGATAAATCGCAGTCAGTAAGCGTCTGTTTATGGTCAAGGCAATCACGCCCCACAGAACAAGCATCGTTTTTGAGTTCGCGATACCGGGAGGCAAGTTAATCCTGAGTTGTTGGGCAAAGTCTCCCAACCAGATCGCCAGACCAACAAGACCAACATTGATGACAATCGCAGACAGGAGTAGCGGAAGCCGCAAGTTCTCCTTCGCCTCACGACGGGCAAACCAGGTGACGCCAGCAATATAAATCCCCATGCAGCCAGCGACCCATAACAGCGGCTGCTGAAATGCTCCAGCCAGACGAATCCCAGCGGTACTGGCTCCCAAGATTAAATTCAAACTCCGGCAGGCCCCCATGAAGATGGGACCAGCAACTGTGCGCTTCATCAGCCCGTCATAGAGCAGTATGCAGACAGCCAGAGCGGATGCAATCAACAGGCTCCGCAGGTCAGCCAGGAACGCAAACCCCAAACCACTCAGCATGAGCAATGTCCCGAAGACAATGGCCTGTTTCAGGCTCACATCTCCAGCAGGGATGGGACGAGCCGGGCGTTCCGCAGAGTCTTGTTTGAGATCAAAGACATCGTTGAAGACCATGCCTGATAAATACAAACAGGCACTCGCAGCCAAGAGAAACAGAAGCTCCTCGATCGGTGCAAGTGCTGCGTGAGATAACAAGAAGCCTGCAGCAATGTCCGCAAGCGCTGTAAAGACCGTAGGAAATCGACAAAGACGAAGATATTTCATCGATTGTCCTTATTTAATTTTGACCAGCGCAGAACAAAATCAGCATGATGCTCTTCACACCATCGACTTCGCTCTTACTCAAGCATCTTTGAGAAGAGGAGTCAGGTACTCAACAGTACTGTTCATTGAGCCCAAATGCTCATAATCAGATTCTGGAATCTGCACTCGGTACAACTTCCGAAGTTCCATGACGATATCGAGGAAGTCCATGCTGTCGAGCTCCATTTGCTCGCGAAAGGCAACGGAATCGTCGAGTTCTGACAAATCTTCGTCAGGGGCAATTCGCTCCAGGATGTCGATGATAACTTGTCGAATTTCCGGTGGAGTCATTCCGGTCTCTCTCCTTAGCACACAATTGAGTGGATTTATTCTGATCGCTTACGCGAAACGATCTCAGGGTGGCAGAACCCTTGAAAGCAGAAGTTGTAGCAGGCAGCTTACTGTATTGGAATCGACTGCGTCTTGCCGAATCTTCATAAATCCTGAACCTGAGATTATTCGTAGACGCCGCCTTGCTCAGCTGGGAATTTTTTGACAATCAACACCGAGTTGATCCCTAACATCCCGAAAGAATTATTGAGGATATGCTCCACTCTCTCCATGCGGCGTGGACGATTCGCAACGACCTGCTGCAAATCACAGCGAGAATCCTGTTCATCAAGATTGATCGTCGGATGAGCGACTTTATCACCGAAGGAAGGAATATTCCCGAGCAACTCTAACGCCCCAGCTGCTCCCATCGCGTGACCGATAAAGCTCTTCGTGTTATTGATCGCCACTCCCGGGCGATCTCCGAATACAGACTTCAAGGCTTTTGACTCCTCGATATCACCTTGCTCAGTCGCTGTCGCATGGCTGGAGACGATGTCAATGTCGTCAGAGGTCAGTCCCGCTTTGTTCAATGCGAGTTGAATACACTCTGACTGTCGCGTCGAGGAGGGCAATACAAAATCTGACGCATCAGAGTTCATCGCATACCCAACAATCTCACCATAAACTTTGGCTCCTCGCTCGCGCGCATCGGAAAGACGTTCAAGCGTACAAATCCCACCTCCCTCAGCGACGATAATCCCGTTTCTATTCACATCAAATGGGCGACATGCTTTCGCAGGGTCCTCATGCCAAGCCAAAGCTCCCTGACTGGCAAAACTGGCAAAAATTCCAAATGTATGAGTGCTCTCTGATACGCCACCAGCAATCGCCAGATCAACTTCCTTTAACCGCAGCATTTGCAATCCCTGAATAAATCCAGCATTGCCAGCTGCACAGGCGGCCCCAACAGTGAGATGAGGGCCGGTGATTTTCATATTCAGAGTGACTTCACCAGCAGGATTATTGGCGACAGTCCGCGGGTTATGGTGGTGGGACCAGACTTTCGTATCGTAGTCGAATTGAGAAATCTCATAGATCTCGTTTTCTGTTTCGACGTTCCCATGCTCAGTAATGCCGAGATAAACGCCAACCCGATCCTTCCGATAGTTTTCCCAATCTATTCCAGAGTCGATGACCGCCTCATTTGCACAATAGATGGAAACCGAACCTGCTCGGGTTCCCCGACGACGCTCTTTGCGTTTCTGATACTTAAATTCGTCGAAGTGACAAACGCCTGCCAGCACAGGCTGCTTAATATAGCGGGTTTCGAATGGCTCAACACCCGACTTTCCTTCCAACAAGGCAGCACGGAACTCATTGAGGTTGTCACCATTCGGAGAAGCAACACCGACTCCGGTGATCACGATCCGTTGATCGTCTGGCAGCTGATTGTCTTGTGAGTGATCCTGCATCATGTACGCAAACACCTTATCGAACAGCGTGACAAGGAGTTTTTCGCTCGCTCGAAACCTTTATCAATAATTCAGCACGGCACAAACATTCTGACCGCCATTGCCGGGACTCGCTAGATTAAAAACAAACTCGCATCAGGGAGTTTTTAATCGTAAGTCGCTTGGAAGCTACTAATTATAGAAAGAGATTGTCGAATTCCCAAGCAAGGCGAATGAACCGACAGCGAACATTCTGATGAAGCCCATTATTCGACAGGCGAGCTCAGCAACCGATAACGTAAGGCATTATTATAAAAAACCTTACACCGTGGGCGAGTAGCCTTCCAATGTTGTATTGATGATCAGCCAAGCCAGAATTCACACACACCAATGGCTAATCATTTTGCGATATAGTTCAGTGCCCAATCTGAATTCCTCCAGATCGATCCATTCGTCATGTGTATGAGCCTGTGAGATACTGCCCGGTCCAAGAACGACAGCCTTTTCCAGCTCATAGTACCAGGCACCATCTGTTCCGTAGGCCACCGTCTTGGGCTTCTTGGTTCCAGTCAGTTGCAGGCATTCCTGAATGAATTCCGAATTTGGCTCTATGTAAAATGGTCTCGCCTTGAAGGAGACATCCACTTCCAGCCCATGTTGCTCAGCTGAATCCAAGATCCTTTGATAAATCGGTTCCGCATCAATTTTCGGCATTTGACGGTAATAGACCGTACAGATACTTTGGGGTGGAGTGATATTGATCGCAGCTGTGTGATCATTGATCCCCAAGTTCATTGTCATGGTCGGCGGGTTGAACTCGGGGTTTTGCCACTTGGGATCGGTCTCCATTTCTTCGTTGAGCTCCTGCATCGCTGCCAGAAATGGAATCATTTTCCAGTTCGCGTTAATCCCTTCTTTCGAACTGGAGTGAGCAGCCCGCCCTTTGGCAGAAATGCGCAAACCGCAACCTCCTTTGTGACCATGAACAACCTCTCGCAGAGTCGGCTCTCCGATAATCGCGCGCGACTGACCTTCGACCATTTCGCGGTAGAGTTGGGAATTCTGAACGACCTGTTCGGCACCGCGCATCCCAACTTCTTCATCTGCGGTACAACAAAAATAGATTGGCTCAGACAGGGGCTGGTTGCGGAATCCTTCCATCGCTTCCAGAAAACATGCGACCGAACCTTTCATATCGGTGGTGCCTCGACCATAGAGCCGCCCATCTTTGATTGTCGGCTCAAATGGTCCATGGTCGTCAAAGACCCACGTCGTCGCTGGCACAACATCCGTATGCCCAAAATAAGCGACTCCTCCTAAACCACTGCCCAGCTTGCCCACCACATTAGACTTAGGGACACCATTGTGATCGATGTAATCGATGCGTTCGACTTCGCAGCCGAGTTCCCTGAGCCACTCATCTACCTGATCTGTGACAGCGACATTTGATTTCGAGCTGACTGAATCAAATTCAACGAGAGCTTGCGTGTAATCCAATGCAGTGGACATAAAGGATTCCTGTTGTCCGTAAGAGTGTGAGACTTGTGGACTGTCACACCTAAAAATTAGGGTTGAGACACTGGAATATAGCGACAACGGAGCGGTCAATCGCGATACCAACCCTAAATTAAAAGCCTGACAAGGCACTAGTCTCAATTCTATTGTGACGTCGATCAAGATTGCCATTGATAATGACATCGAGAGCGAAAAATCGTTCGCCTCTGTTTTCGTCTTTCAATTACTTCGTTACGATCAATAAGGTTCGCTGACAATATCCGCGGGGACACAATGTATCAAAAGACATTCGCATTGACTGTACGTGCTTTGCGTGTCGATGCGAGACATCTATCGCCCCACCTGATGCGAGCAGGACTCTGCTTTGTCGTCCTGTTGACGTTATCAAACGCCCAACAGTCCTTCAGTTCACAAGCTCCCGGGCTCTCTTTCTTTAGTTCGATCATCTACACCAACGCGGCTTTCGCTTCGTTCGTCATTCCTTTGCTGTTTGCGAACTCAATTACGGAAGAGCAGGAAGAACGAACACTCCCGCTGCTGCAAATCGCTGGTGTCTCTCCGCTAACAATTCTGGTGGGGAAATCGATTCCACGGATGATTGCCGTTTTGTTGATCTTCGTCGTGCAGGTCCCATTTTCTTTGCTGGCCGTCACTTTAGGAGGCGTTTCCTTACTGCAAATTCTAGCAAGTTACGTGGCAGTTGCGGCCTACATTATTTTTGTTGCGTTTCTATCTTTGTGGTGCTCTGTCATTTTTCGTCTGACAGCCAACGCTATTGGTCTGGCAGGTTTGCTGTTATTCGCTTACCACGTCCTGCCCACAATTGCCTATGGCGTACTGCTCGCCATTCAGTTCGACCCCGCCTGGAGAGGATTAGCACAAACTGGGATCACATGGATCGGCAATTACTGTCAAACCAACATCTTTTATCGCCTGAGTTCGATCCTCTTAACGGGATTTGACTCAGGACTGCTCAGCTTGCAGGTCGGCACGAATTTATTATTGGGAAGCTTCTTCTTTCTGCTCGCCTGGGGCACTTTTCCCTACTTCAATCGCGAGACGGACACTGCCCCGGCAAAGAAGAAGTCGGTTCGTGGTAAACAGAATACCCGTCGCAGACGAGCCTGGAAGAAAGCATTGGTTTGGAAGGAATATTACTTCGCAGCTGGGGGGAGGCTTTATCTAGTATTGAAATTCATCATTTATGGGGCAGTCATCGCCCTCGTGACTTGTGCCTCTGCTGGATGGGATTTAAATCGCATCGAGTTTGATGAAGCAGCACTGATTTCGGCAGCGATGATGTTCTTCGCCTTTTTGCCCATTGAAACCGTTCTGACAGTCGGCCGTCTCTTCCAACCTGAAGTCAAAAGCAAGACTCTTCCGTCGCTGTTGTTACTGCCATTTTCTGTGAGGCAGATTGTCTATCGTAAAGTGCTGGGAGGCATGTTGGGGCTAATTCCTGTTCTGTTCTACCTCACTCTCTGCACTGTGATCGCGCCTCGCGGCTTGGAGGAATTCTTCAGAGAAATCGGTGAACATCCGGGGCTAGCTGCCATTATCATGAGCAACATCATTGTTCACATTCTACTGTTTTTGCATTTGGTCGCGTGGCTCTCAATCAGAATGAATGGCTGGTGGGCGATCCTCGTCTCGTGGTTTGTCCATTACTTCAGTTTCGCGATTTTCGCAATGATCTATGCAATGCTCTCAGGATACTTCGGCTTGAACTGGTCCGACGGAACCGAATTGTTCCTAGCTGCACTAGCCGCGGGTGCAGTCCTGGGTGTTGTCGCTATCATTCATTACAGAATCGGACGAGACCTCGAATTCAAGGCTGCCGAAATGTGACAGCGACGTCATCTAGAAGGATCAGCGCTGCTTTGAATCAATCGACACACCAATTTACGAAATGCAGGTTCTGCTTCTGAGGCAACACAGACGACGTGATCACCATCGGCCCCGACGAGAGCGTCTGGATTACAGAGATTTGTAATGGTTGCTAACCCAACAACCTGCATGCCGAGCTTGTACGCTTGCAACACCTCAGGGACAGTTGACATCCCAATCGCGTCGGCCAGCATTCGATAGAACCGCATCTCCGCACGCGTTTCGTAATTCGGACCTGTGACTGAAACGTAGGTTCCTTGCCGCAAAGAGATGTTCTCCTGCTTCGCTATTTCCTCTAACCGATTGCACAGCAAATCATGAAACAGCGGCTGCTTTTGTACCTGTCGTGATGGATCAAGGTTTGTCAGTCGAGGATAAAGAAAATCGATTTGATCGGTGATGAGCATGATCTCTCCCACCCGAAAGAGTGGATTCAAACCGCCAGCAGCACAGGAAACAACAAGTGTTTGAACCCCGAGTTCTTTGAGAACTCGGATGGGGAAAGTAATTTCCTCTCGAGACACACCTTCGTAGCAATGGGAACGCCCCCGCAATGCAACTACGGGTGTTCCATCAAGCTTGCCGCACACCAACTCACCAGCGTGCCCGATCGCGGTCGTCGTGCAGAAACCAGGCAGCTCGTCATAGGAGAACGAGTGCTCAATCTGAATTGCTTCGACAAAGGCCCCCAGGCCAGTGCCTAAAATCACTCCAACGCTCGGAGCTTCTGGCCAAGCCTGTTTGATGAAATGAGCCGTATGCCGGGGAGTGATCATGGAATCCAAATTCGCATAAAACGTGACAAGCCTTAATAAGTACGTTGAACAACATTATTCTGCATTCAGATAGCATACCTGTTCAGTTGAGTGACTTCGCTGTTTTGATGGTGTTCTATAACAAACCTACTTTTCATTTCCAGTTCGCTTGATGTTCATAAACCTGTTGAGCCGCATGCCAATGTTCGCTTCACGATTTCCCCTAAGACACCTCCTGCTGTTTATCGCACTGGCTCACGCCCCACTTGAGGCACAAGAGACTGCTCCAATCAAACGGGATACAGCAGATTTGCAGACTTTCAAAAAAGAAGTGGATCGTCTGTCCCTGTTAATAGAAGCGATGCCCGATTCACAGAATGCTTACTCGCGTCGTGGAGACCTTCATTTCTATTTGGGTCACTTTGACAAAGCGTTGGCAGACTACAACAAAATGGTCGAGTTGAACCCAGCCATAGACACCTCTCATTGGAGAAGAGGGATTGCCGCGTTTTATGCCGGAAAGTATGACGCTGCGGCTGGACAGTTTGACCGCTACCATAGTTTTGATAACGTCGATCGGGAGAATGGCATCTGGCGTTATCTTTCTCATTTCAAGTCAAAGGGAGCTGAAGCAGCCCGCAAGCAACTCCTCAAATACGAAAAAGATGATCGGGAACCATTCGGAGATGTCTATAGACTCTTTGAAGGGAAAATCACTGGTAGTGAGATTCTTGAGAAGATAGAGCAGGCAGAACTCGCTGCGACTGAAAAAGAGAAACGACTCTTCTACGCCAATCTGTACATTGGTTTGAATGAAGCCGTTCAAGGCAACCAGAAAACGGCGCGAACACATCTAACCCAAGCCGC